GTCCCCCAGGTTAGGACATATTTATGCTGAAAATTTGTTATTTATCTAAAATTCAAATTTAACCAGATATACTGTATTTTTATTTGCTAAATATGATAACCCTAGATGTTAGTCTAATTTGAAACCGGTTGAAAAAAAAACTGAACATTTATTTGGGAAAACAATTTTAAAAATTATGCCGTAATCAAATTACAGATAATTTTAACAGATAATTGCCCTGTGAAATCTCCTGCCTGAACAAATTAGCCATTTCCCTATATGTTTACTAATGTCCACCCTGCTTTATACAGACCTTGACACTAAGTATGCTCCTCCAGAGAGATAGAGGTGACCTCTGAGATTGTACAGTAGATTGCTTCATTGCTGTTATGAATCAGATATCCCACCCAGTATAATTCAATCCAGTGCCAGGGAACTGGAGACATTGTGAGCAGCAGAAAGCGCTCTTGGCCTCCTCTGCTACCGTCTTTCCTGGATTCTCTCCTCAGGGGCTATGACTTGTCTGATTCAATGATTATACCTGTGCCCTGGGCTCCGCTGTCTGCCTGAGAGATTCTGACGCCTTCTCTCCTCATCGCCTCAGATTTGCTCTTTTTTAGCTTCTTTTTTCTCTCTCCTAGACAATCGTCTGGAGGCTGTCTTACTAAGCTGTTGGCCTCAACTTCTTTCTTCCCAGTCTTCACCTTAAGCACTCTTCTGCAAGACGTCTGCCCCTTTCTCTCTGTTATGTTGTTCTATGCCATCAAGTCAATTCCGACTCATAGTGACCCTGTAGGGCAGAGTAGAACTTCCCCATGGGGATTTCTAGGCTGTAATTTTACAGGAACAGAGCATCAGGTCTTTTCTCCATTGCAGCCACTGGTGGATTAGAATCGCTGACCTTTGTGTTAGCAGCTGACTGCTTAACCATTGTGCCACAGGGCTCCCTCCTCTCTATTATCCAAATACAAAATCTGCTACCATTGAATTCAGTCTCACCAAACCTGAAGCTGATTCTAAGTTTTTACTCTCAATGATGAAACAAGTGAGCAGCTCCTCCTGAAGCTGTTTTTATCACTTATTTTCTAGTGTCCCACAGTTTTGATTTTCTTTGACCTCTTTTGACTCTTACAACTTCCACATCCCCACTTCCTCACTCCTGATTTTATTTACCATCACTTACAAATGAGGAGCCCTGCTGGACTCAGTTCTACAGCTATTTCTTCCCCTTCAAAATACTTCCTTTAGAGAATGAAACTACTCTTTTGGCTTCAGCGAGCATTTCTGAGGCAACAGAGTATAACTCACTGGGGTTTTTTTTTTTCCCCCTCATGAGAGTCAGTTCAGGCCACATAATAATGTTTGCAGGCTATAATTTAAAAATACAAAAATAGTTTTATGTGTCAAATTGGCTAGGCCAGTTATTTAATCAAACATTAAGCTAGGTGTTCTGGTGAAGGTACTTTTATAGCTGTGATTAACATCTACGGTCGGTTGACTTTAAATAAAGGAGATAAAGCTCAGTAATGTGGGTGGACTTTATACAATCAGTTGGCAGACCTCAAAGGCAAATAGCAAAGTTTCCCAATGAAGAAGACATTCTACTCAAGACCGCAACACTAACTCCTGCAGAACTGAGTTTCTAGCCTGCCGTTTCCCCTACAGATTTTGGACTCAAGACAGTAATATAAGCCCCTGCCTGAGTTTCCAGCTGGCAGAACTATTCTACACATTTTGGACTTGCCATCCTCCATAACTTGGTAAGTCAGTTTCTTAAACCTATTTCTATTTTGTATATATATGATATATATCTTCTATTCCACTCTGTTTCTCATTTTATGCTTCTCTGGAGAACACTGACTGATACAAGTCCTATAGAAAAATATATATTCTTAAATGTAATCAACTTTAATAACAGGAAAAATGTTAATAAGAAAATGGTCATTAAATATTAATACATAGGCAAATATATTCAGTAGCAACGCATAGGTATATTTCTAATCTTTAGCATACATACCCACACTCACACACCTGCACGTGTCTCTTCAGAGTTCACCAAGTGTCCTGAAGTGCACATCTCCCCTCATCCTCAAAATCATCCTGTGAAGTCAGTATGTGTATTGTCTTCCCTGGATCAACTGGATTAACTGGATTAGTTTGATCAACTGAGGACCTGATGAGGAAAGCAAGCTCTCCAAGGTCCAACAGCAAGTAGTGGTAATACTAGGATAAGAATTAGTCTATTCCTTTAAGTGTTATGTTTATCAGGCCTTTTGTGTACCAGTCGCTGTGCTAGGTGCTAGAGATAGAGAGAAGTGCAAGAGCCAGTGCTACCCCACTCAGTGCTTCTTTCCTCCTTTCCCCTTCTTTCTTGTTTTCTCTGCTTAGGCTGGGCAGGGCTTACTGTTGGCTTCCTTTTAGGGCCTGCTGTCTGGGTTTGTGTCGTCTAAACTCTGTCAGCACAGCCCAGACTACTGTGGTTCTTGTCTCTCCTCTAGACACATTTTCCCTGTACCTAGTAGGATATAACATTTTTCTCCTAGGAAGCAATCTTCTCCATCTGCTCAGCTTTGGTTGGAGGAGTCTGGAGGTATCAGTTAAGACTTCCCTCTAGATTCAAGGTAGTTTCACTGGAGACAATTCCCCCAGTCTCTCCACTCTTACAAACAGAAAGGCTGCATTCTGTGAGCTTTGGCAGGCTGTAGCTTGCTAGTCAAAGGCAGTGCAGTGGGCTTAGGGATCCAGAGACTCTGCTTCCAGATGCAGCATTGGTGCCTCTCCAGTTCCAGTTCCAGCTGATGGTATGCTACTGCAAGTACTGTGATTTTCTATCTGAGTACTTTCTTTCAGCTGGTAATGTTAGGTCTTCCAAAAATGCCAGAGGTTTGATGTTTCTGGTGTAGTGTGATTCAGAGTAGGTATTTGGGAAATTTTAAGTGAACCTGACTAATTTTACAACCTTGCTCAAAAACATTCCTTGAATGAAGAGCAAATTCCTTATGCCAATCCCAAGGTCATCTCTGTGATGGTCCTTATCTCCTTCCTTACTAGTCTCTAATGCCAACCCTCCCCTCCATCCATACTGGCTTCATTCACCCTGAACTTGCCTGACCTTGCTGCCATTGATCATTTCATGTCCATTTCTCCATCCCCCACACTCTTCTCTCTCAGTCACATCATTCTTCTCTTCCTTCAAATCTTGTTTAAGGTACATCTCCTCAATGCTGTATTTCTTCACTGAACTAGTGATATTGCCTTCTCACCTCCAGTGATATTACCAGCTAATAGTGTTGAATATTGCTTTGTGCTAGTCCTTCACAGGTATTTTTCTGCTTTAATTTTGGTAAAGGCTAAGTTGTCAGGTGGTCCTTCCCTGGGACAAAGGAGGCTAGGAAATGCAATCTCTAGCTAGGCATGTATGTTCTCAGGAAGAAGAGGAGACCAGACTCAGGGAAACCACCAGTGGTCTTCCCTCTATTTTATTGAAGCACTACAGCAATTTATAAAGAAGACTTTCTTATAATTCTCATTTTATAGATGAGGAAACTGAGGTTCAGAGTTGTTAGGAAAATTTTCCAAGGTTGCACAGCTAGTAAGCGGAAGAGCCAAGATTCTACTTAGTCTGGCTACAGAGACCACCCACTAAAATTGTCAGTTAACATACATTCCTTTTATTTTAATTTGTCTGACTTACAGGCGAAAAGGCATGTTCCTTGACTGTAGTAACAGATCTTACTTTTGATCTGACCCTCCAGCACAGTGCACTGAACGTAATAGATACTCACTGGGTGACTGTTATTTAACATGTAATAAAGATGAGAAAGTAATTTTTTGACTTCTTGGTAACTCATTCCAGTTTTAACCTTTATTCAGTTTGTTTTTGTTTTTGTTAAATAAATTGTTCTGTAACAATCATGTCCTCTTGTAAAGTATTTAGTATCTCCACTCATCTGGGAATGGAGAGTCCAAACGAGGTCAGAAGTTGTCAGAGGGAGGTCAGCAAGAGTCCAACTTGGAGATCTAGGCAACTGCTACCTCTTGGTTGCTTTGATAATTACTGCATAAACTTACAGTTATTGAGCTGGTAAAAAAATCAGACACTCACATTTGCAAATTGAACTATAAAAACACAATCCGAAATAAACATACCTAAAATCAAAATGAATTATTATAAACACTAGTTCTGTAAATATAAACCATATTATACCTGATTCACAACAGAAACAAAATAAGTGCTATTTTCAAACGTTGTCTACTTATTTCATATAAAAATCTGCAAGCTCCTTTTCTATTATTTTCCTTTATCTCTCTCTCTGTCTCCTCCTGCCTTTCTCTCTCCCTCTTTCTTCACCCTCTCCTCCCTTTCCCCTCTGTGGTAAGCAGACTCTAAAGTGTACTTCAATGTCCCCTACCGCATTCATATCCTTCCTTTGAGTGTGATCTGGACCCAGTAGTGACTTGCTCTATTGAGTAGGATACAGCAAAAGTGATGAGGTGTCACTTCCCAGATTAGAGTACAGAAGACTGTGGCTTTCTCCTCTTGAGTGCTGCCTCTGCCTCTGCCTAGGCTAACAGTGTGACTGCAGTCTTATGAGAGAGACCCTGAGGTAAACAATGTATATTCTTTGAAGCCACTAAGTTTTGGGATAATTTGATACACAGCAGTACTGAATACTACCCTCTTTGTATTCCTCCTCTGTTCTGATTTCTCCATTTTGAGGAAACTAAGGTGAATAAAAGTACAGAGCTCGAATATTCCCATGATGATAATAACCATAATTTCACAATTTTAAAGCTGGATATTCTTCAAATCATTTACACAAAAATTTGCTCATTTGATCCTCACAGACCCTGCAATAAGGGAGAGTCATTTCTTGTCTAAGAATGATATGAAACCCTAGGTTTTCTTAAAACTGACTTGTAATTTACTTTTAAAGTACTGACGTCTGAGAACCATGTGATTGTGTTGTATCTGTATAAATGTCAGGAGTTTGTTTTTTCAGCAATCATTGGACTTCAGCATGATCTCGTCTCAGTTGCTGGCTTATGTGGCAATTTCAGCTTTCTGCATCTTAAATGTCAGTGCCATGGATACTTTTATTGCAGCTGTTTATGAGCATTCAGTGATATTGCCTAATGCCACCCTAAATCCAGCATCCCATGAAGAGGCATTGGCGTTAATGAACCAAAATCTGGATGTTTTGGAGGGAGCCATCACATCAGCAGCAAAGCAGGTACCGTCTCTCAAGTGTGCTGGATTCTATGCAGAGAAAGGGTGGAGTCTTAGGAGACAGAGTCACTATCAGGTTCAGTCACGTTTTTGTATGACATACGTGTCAAGGTATGGATTACTATTAGAGCTCTACTTAAACCTCTCAAAATTATTTGAGCAAGCACACCTTCATTTCCCTAGGGTCACCGTAAGTCAGAGCCTGACTCAGCAGCTAACAACAACAGAAGTAAGAGCAAAGTTAAAAGAACAGTTTTGTTGTCCTTAAGCAGCAGAAGCCCTTTGAAGAACTAGCTGTAAATTCAACGTCTTTGCTCCTCTTTTTCTGCTACAGTTGGAGGTGGAGGATAAAGGGGGTCAGGAATCACGTGCTGTTCTTAGAGTGTTAGTGGCCTTGATGTACTCTTGTGCTTTAAGATTCTGCAGGTTTTCAGATAAGTTTATACCCCAAAGCAATTCAACTTAAATTGCAAATAACTCAAGAGTTTGCATTCCATGCTCCATACTTCAATTGAAATACAAGATAAAAACATGTATGTTAATGCACAGTAGTCCTTGGGTTGAATGAAAGTTAAATTTAAACCTAATTCCACAGTGTTTTTAAGTGTGTGGCTTGAATGTATGTGATTTAAATATTAGTAGATCAGAAATAGCCCAGGTATGTGAAGTGTGATGAAAGTATATTACTGGATATGTATTACTGTTGTGGTGTGCCATTGAGTGGATTCTGACTCATAACAATCCTGTAGACTAGAGTAGAACTTCCCCATAGGGCTTCCAAGGCTGTAATCTTTATGGGAGCAGATTGCCATGTTTTTTCTTCTGCAGAGCTGCTGGTGAGTTCAAATTGTCGACCTTTCAATTAGCAGCTGAGTGCTTAACCATTGCACCACCAGGGCTCCTTGGATACATACTGCATATATCTATCAATATGCATTCTTAGACATAATTAAATTATAAAGGTCATCAAGAGTTCTGAGGCCCTTTTTCACCCTTAGCCCTACCATTTCCTTAAGGGCCACAGCAGCTAACACTCTCCAAACAGAAGGTGCCCAGGTTAGCTCAGGGAGCATCTCTAGCCTCAGACACTTCAGGTCATCAATGTCTGGCCCCACCCTCCCCCTTCCTTTTGAGAAGCAAGAATCCTGGTTACAGGGTGGTGCAGGGAAGGCTGGAGCAGACGAGGAGGGAAAACAGAGAACTTGAGTCGTAACTTAGTCCTGACACACTCAGACACAACAATCAGCCAAAGTCCAGGGAGAGGGTTGATTCTGAGCAGAGCCAGGTTTATAGTTAACGACTGCAACATGTGATAGGGCTGTGAGCGGCCTGGAAACTACTGTCTATGAAAAAATAGAAAAGCTGTATAGAAATTACACCACCAGGATTAGAAAATTAAAGTGGTTATAAAAGAAAAAATAAATTATAAAAATAGAGAAAACAAGGAAATATGATTGAAAGAACAAGCCCAAATGGTGGAGCTTAAGGAAAGGCAGGGTACAGAGCCCGCCCCAAAATTCATCTTTTTTCTTGAGGGCAAATTTAAAGACTGAATGAGATGCAGAGGAGCTAAACTAATTCTTTTGTTTGTTTGTTTTGATTTTATTGTGCTTTAGGTGAATGTTTGCAGTGAAAATTAGTTTTTCATTCAAAAATCTATACACAAATTATTTTGTAACTTTGGTTGCAATCCCCACAATGTGGCAGTACTCTCCCCTTTTCCACCCCGGGTGCTCCGTGACCATTGGTCCAGTTTTCCTGTCCCTTCCTGCCTGCTTATCTTTGCTTTCAGGCAGGTGTTGCCCTTTTGGTCTCCTATGCTTGACTGAACTAAGAAGCATGTTCTGCATGTCTGTCATTGTTTGTTTTTTAGGCTTGTCTAATCTTTGGCTGAAAGGTAGACTTAGAGAGCGGCTTCAGTTCTGAGTTAGCAGATTCCCAGAGGCCATAGTCTTAGGAGTTACTCCAGTCTCTGTCAGACTAGAGCATTAGGTCTTTTTTTTTTTGTGAATTTGAATTTTGTTGTACATTTTTCTCCCACGCTGTTCTGGGACCCTCTGTTGGGATCCCTGTCAGAGTTGTTGGTGGTAGTAGCTGTCAGGCACCATCTAGTTCTTCTGGGCTCATGCTGGTGGAAGCTGTGGTTCATGTGGTCCATTTGTCCTTTGGACTAATATTTTCCTTGTGTCTTTGATTTTCTTCATTCTCCTTTGCTCCAGACGGAATGGGACCAATAGTTGTATCTTAGATGGCTGCTCCCAAGCTTATAAGACCCCAGACACCAGCTACTCACCAAAGTAGGATGCCGATCATTTTCTTCAGGAAGTATGTTATGTCAATTGAACTAGATATCCCCCAAGACCATGGTCCCCAGCCCTCAGTGCCAGTAACTCGGTACCTCAAGGCATTTGGATGTGTCTAGGAAGCATCTATTAATTTGCCTTGGTCAAATTGTGCTGACTTTCCCTATATTGTGTGTTGCCTTTCCCTTACCAAAGTTTCCACTTGTCTACTATCTAGTTAGTGATTTCCCTTCCCACCCTCCCCCATAACCATCAAATTCTTTTTTTCCTGTGTATAAACCTTTTCTTGTTTTTTTTTTTAATTTTTTATAATAGTGGTCTCATACAATATTTGTCCTTGTGTGGTTGACTTATTTCACTCATCATAATGTCCTCCAGACTCAACCATATTGTGAGATGTTTTGCAGATTCATTATTGTTCTTTATCATGTAGTATTCCACTATGCATATGTACAATATTTGTTTATCCATTCATCTGTTGATGGGTACTTAGGTTGTTTCCATCTTTTTGCTGTTGTGAATAATGCTGCAGTGAACATGGATGTGCATATGTCTATTCGTGTGACAGCTCTCATTTCTCTAGTATATATTCCTAGTAGTAGAATTGCTGGATCATATGGTATTTCTACTTCTAGCTTTTTAAGGAGGCACCATATCATCTTCCATGGTGGCTGTACCATTTTACACTCCCACCAGCAGTGCATAAGAGTTTCAATCTCCCCACAGCCTGTGCAATATTTATTGTTTTCTGTTTTTTTTTAATTAGTACTGGCGATGTTGGGGTAAGATGGTATCACACTGTAGTTTCGATCTGCATTTCTGTAATGGCTAATGATTGCAAGCATTTCCTCAAGTGTCTGTTAGCCACTTGAATGTCTTCTTTGGTGAAGTGTCTGTTCGTATCCTTTGCCCATTTTTTAAGTGTATTATTTATCTTTTTTTTTTTTGTTGAGGTATTGAAATATTCTATAGATCTTAGAGATTGGACCCCTGTCGGATGTGTCATAGCCAAAATTTTTTCCAAGTCTGCAAGTTCTCTTTTCACTCTTTTGGTGAAGTCTTTCGATGAGCTTAAGTGTTTAATTTTTAGGTACTCCCAGTTTTCTAGTTTATCTTCTCTTGTTTGTGCATTGTTAGTTATGGTTTATATTCTATTTATGCCATGTATTGCGGCCCCTAGCATTGTCCTTATTTTTTTTTCTATGATCTTTATCGTTTTAAGTTTTATGTTTAGGTTTTTAATCCATTTTGAGTTAGCTTTTGTGTATGGTGTGAGGTATGGGTCCTATTTCAATTTTTTACAGATGGACATCCAGTTTTTGCAGCACCATTTATTAAAGAGTCCATCTTTTCCCCCATTTAATGGACTTTGATCCTTGAACTAGTTCTTAAGGGAGTCTCTGATTGGCACAAATGATTAAGTGATCACTAATCAAAAACTTGTTGTTTCAAGTCCACCCAGAGGCTCCTCAGAATAAAGGCCTGGCGGTCTACTTCTAAAAGATCAGCCATTGAAAATCCTATGAAGCACAGTTCTACTGTGACTCACATGGGGTCCCCAGGAGTCAGAATCAATGGCTACTTGTAGTTCTTACAGGAATCAGAGTGGCAGAGTTTGTTAGTGAACACTCTCCTAGTTTCTCTCATTGATTGTTCACTTATTTGAAAAATGTTCTAATTAAGCCTCATTTTAACAGGGTGCGCATATTATTGTGACTCCAGAAGATGGTATTTATGGCTGGGTCTTCACCAGGGAAACTATCTATCCTTACTTGGAGGATATCCCAGACCCTCAGGTGAACTGGATTCCTTGTAATGATCCCAGCAGGTAAAGAAACATTTTGTGAAAAATTCAATCATGAACATCAACTTATTTTGCCTGGGAAAACTTTATTGATGTTTATTGAGTAAGATCCACTATTAACTCCAAGTTTCAAGATAGTTTTTATTATTTTTCATATACTAGGGTACGTCTAAGGAGACTTTAATTAAGGTGACTCAATGGTTAAGCACTCAGCTGCTATCTGAAATATTGGTGGTTCAAATCCACCCAGTTGTTCCACAGAAGAAAGACCTGGTGATCTGCTCCCATAAAGATTATAGCCTAGAAACCCTATGGGGCAGGTCCACTCTGTCACATGGGGTCACTATGAGTCAGAAATCAACCTGAGGACTCCTAACAACAACAATGGATACACTTATTAGGAAAGAGATTATGAATTATGTTATCAAAGAAATGAGAACTGAAAGATAACTTAGAAATCATCGAGTTCAAAGAGAATACTTTTCCACTGAGGGAATGAGACTGGAATGACTATAACTCCCTAAAGGTCCCAGGTGTAATTAGTGGGGGAACCAGATCCAAACTCTAGTCTTCTTACTCTTTGCCGGTGAACAGAGAATTGATTACCTGTGTGAGTCTGTCATTTGAAAACTGTGTGAGTAAATGGCAAAAATAGAGCCATTTTTCATTTTAGAACTAATTTTTTTTTTTATCATTAAGATAGCTTATGAGGTTAATGTATGTATTAAAATCCCTACAGCGTAAACTGATTATTAACCTACGAGGTGATACAGCAGAACTGTCTAAGTGTTTTAGGAGTTGCTGAGTGGTACAAAGGTGCGTGCCTGCTAACCAAAAGATTGGTGGTTGGAATCCACCCAGAGGCACCTCAGAAGAAAGGTCTGGCAATCTACTGGAAAATCAGCCATTGAAAACCCTAGGGAGCACAGTTTTACTCTAACATACATGGTGTCACCACGAGTTGGCATCTACTCAATGGCAACTGGTGGCAGTGGTGGTGCAAGTGGTTTAAATCAGGTCTAGACTAAAAAAAATAAAGTGTGATGGAAGTAACACTATTACTTTTAATGTCAGTAAAAGAATCTCCCACATCTAAAAGAATCATGTAAGTTAACTCACTTATTTCCTAATGAACCCTTTGCTGAAATCGTTTTAGAATTTCCTCTTTTGGAACTTTTGTTAATACTACACAAACTAATTACTGTAACTCCTTATAGTGACACCTTGATTTTGACAAAATTCAGTATTATTTAGCTCAATAATCTACTTTACTCCTGTTCATTGTATCGTAGTTATTTACTTACTTAACCAACTCCCGTGCCATCTCCTGTTTCTATAACACAAAAACTGTATTATCTTTACCATTTTGAATCAAATTGACTTGTTTATGAACAGCATTTCCCTAGCATCTAATTTTCAAAAGTCTCCTGAATAGTCCCACAAAAATGTCCAATTTGTTCCATTTCAAATAGCCTAGTTGCCCCCTCATGTTTCCCATCAACTAATGACATCTTCTTTCTTGCTTTCATTTATTTAACAAATATTTTTGAGTACTTATTATGTATTCTTGGATCCCTGGTGGCGCAGTGGTTAAGAGCTCAGCTGCTAACCAAAAGGTTGGCTGTTGGAATCCATCAGCCGCTCCTTGGAAACCCTATGAGGCAGTTTTATTCTGTCCTATAGGGTCACTATGAGTTGGAATTGACTCGACGGCAATGGATTTGGTTTAGCTTGGTCTTATGTGTTCTTAGGCACTAGTGTGAAAAAAAAAGTGTAAAAAATCCCATCCTCATGGATCTTATATTCTAGTTGAGAGAGAAAAAAAAAAAAAAGAATAATGTTATGAATCTGCCTTTTATCTACATTATGGAGAAAAATAAAGCAAGGAAGGAGTCAAGGGTGGGGCTGAAGATTTTAATAGGTCATGTCATTAGAGGGGGCTTCACAGTGACATTTAAGCAAAGATCTGAAGGAAGTGAGGTATCTGAGGAAAGAGCATTACAGGCTAAGGGAATTTTGAATGCCAAGACCTTGTGGTCAAAGTGTGTCTAGTACATTCAAAGAACAGCAAGAGGCTAAGTGGCTGAAGAGTTTAGAGGGAAGGAGAGTGAAGTAGGAGATGGAGGCAGATAGGTAGGAGGGGCCTGATTGTATGGGAATTCATGGGCCATAATAATGACTTTGACCATTACTTGAGTGATTAGAGCACCATTTTCACATGCTCTGACTAAAGTTCAATAAAGAACACTGGCAGGTATGTTTAACTTTTTGATGTATGCCAAACTGTTTTCCATAGTGGTTGCACCATTTTACAATTCCACCAGCAGTGAAAAATAAAACAGTTTAGAGGTAAATAAATTAGAAGCCATAAGAAGAAAGTACTTGTTAAGAACCATCATGGTTGTAAGCTTGTCATTACAATTGTGCGTGAAATATTGTTCTGAGAGGTTCTTGGAGGTTAAGAGAGGAACAATTTGACTAGAGAATTTTTACGGTTATAGAAGAAAGCTTACAGATTTCTTGAGCAGCAAACTGTATCCAATAACCTAACTGAAAGATGAATATACTTAACATATTTTCATTAAGTACCTGTTACGGTCCAGGCACTCCTCTGTGTGAGTGTATGTGGATCCTTGCATAAGGGGTGTCCTTTAATATGGCAAATATCTGCACCTATCATCACAGTGATTGGGCTTGCAGATTTAAAAAGTTGATCAACAGTTTAATAAGTTGAAAAATAAAACTCGCCTAATTAGCTAGCCTGCATGAAAAATAAATTTTTATTTTTGATCACATATTACTTTGTATTGTTATTTCAAAATTTTATGTGCATGTATTGATTCTCCAGTAAGATTAAATGCTTCCCAAGTGCAGCAACCATGTCTTCCACATCTGTGTAACCCCCATGTGAACTTGGAGAGCTCTGCTTGGATTTTCCTTTCTCACATGCCATGTCTAGCACAGTGCTTTATGTAATATAGGGACACAATAAATATTTGTTGAAATTTAACATATACTTATTTTTATGTAGTAAATACTTTCTGGGGTAGTAGATGGCTTTTGTTATACCTAGAGATTGAACACTTTGAAAGCAGCCTTAGAAAATGTATCTTTCACCTCTTTCTTCTGTTCTCAGTTGTCCTAGGACCGAGCTCTGTATTGACTAAAGACTCAGCAAATATCAGGGAATAAGTGATAAGCAGATTTCAGGCCCAAATTAGAAAATGGCATTTTTTAAACTCCAAATCATGACATGTGGTCTAACAAAGAATTTTAGGGGCTTTTCCAGTTCTAAGAAATGTAGTTTAAATAAAAATATATTATAATTTACAACATACTTTCAAGATGAATAGAAATAGTAGTAAAATATGTTTGTAATCAGGACTGTTTCAGATATCCAAAACGCCATGTACCTCTTCTACCACTTCATGTAACCTGAAAAGTTTTGGGGTAAATATGTTTCAAGTGGTTTAATGTATTTTATTTATGTCTGTGCATTTCAGATATTAATTCAAGACAACAAAGGAGGGAAATCTATCAAATGGTGATTCTTTATTTTAAATATATTAAAATAATGATTTTCTCTATATGGTGTCCAACACTTTTTGCTCTTTTTCAAGAAAATGTTTTATAGGCAATTGTTATAGCTTTGCTTGTATAAGTTGTACAAATTTGTTTTAGATCTCAATGCCACAATTTGATGCTCAAGGAAGTTTTCATTACTATTTGCCAGGAGATGGCACTAAATTTTCATTCATTGAAGTTCTCTCTTTTTGCCTTCACAGCTATTCCATAACCATTTATTGTTTCAAGGTTGTGCCAATAGGGGATAAATATGGCTATATGTTCCACATTCTGAGGTTTCACTTTTCAAATTTGCAATTTAATGGGTTTAGTGGGATAATACTACTGGTAACTATGATAAAGAATAAAGAATTCAAGCATTAACAAATATTCTGATATTTCCATCTTTCCATACCAGCTGGCGCTACGCTAGCCCAGCCTTCTAGCCTCTTATCTGGACTATTACAACAGCTTCCTAAATTAATCTTTGTAAAAGAAAATTCAGATTTTGTTACTTCTGTCCTCAAAACCTTTAATTGTACCCCTTTGTCTATTAAATTTGGAACAGGTTTCTTAGCCTCTTGGGCTAAGCTCTATATGTTGGCCTTGAAATGATCTTTTAATTTTCCTTTTCCCTTCTTTTCACTAAGAATGTCTCTGCTCTGACCAGATTGAATAATTCTCTGAAAAAAACTTTCTCTTCCCTACATCAATGTTTTGGTTCATTTTTTCAAATATATTTGAATGCCTCTTTTCTGCCAGATATTGTTCTCGGTTCAGTGAACAAGAGATGTGGGTGCCTGCCCCATAAGGTGTATAGAATATGAAAGACAATATAAGATGAACACATACGTGAAAGTATGATGATAGATTATGATAAATGCTATGAATGGGGGAAAAAAGGCCTGGTTATGTCTTATCCTAGAGTATTTTGAATATATATATATTTTTAACCAATTTTCCACACACATGGTTTCCTCTCTTCTTAATCCTTCTCTTCAACCTGCAGATATTTAGTGTTTATTTTGTGAATATTAATTAAATAATAATAAATTTAGGCAATTCATTATGAATTTCATTAAAAGATAAACTTTATTTTTTTCCTTGTCCAATGAACTTGTACCAGATTTGGCCACACCCCAGTGCAAGAAAGACTCAGCTGCTTGGCCAAGAAGAACTCTATCTACGTTGTGGCAAATATTGGGGACAAGAAGCCATGCGAAGCCAATGATCCTCAGTGCCCCACTGATGGCCGTTATCAATACAACACTAATGTGGTGTTTGATTCTGAAGGGAAATTGGTGGCACGCTATCATAAGGTAGAATCAATTTGCAGATAATTTACATAATAAAGTGGGCCAGAAGAAAAAAAATCATGATTGTGATAATAAGCTTACTTTAGAAGCAGAGTAGAGACAAAGCATAGAAAGTAATGATTAGGGCAGGTAAGATCCTATAAAGATTCTCCAGAAGTGTCTTGTGCACTTAAGAGAAGTTGGGAGTGTCTGAGAGCCACAAGGAACCATCTGCATTGAAAGGTGATATCCCCCTTGGGCTTTGTCCTTTTAAACATATGTCCTGACAATGGGTCAAGGCAAGATAAAAAATTTTTTTTACCAGATAGAGTTGATCTCGAGAAGGAGCAAAGGAAATTACCTGCCCACAGGAAATAGTTAAAGTGTTCATAGCAAATAGAAGTTATCTGTTCTGTTCCTATTCTTGTAAGATTCAAGAGGACCTTCACAGATAAGGATTTCCATGTATTTATTATCTATTGAATGTGGAGGTTGAACCTAAGATTCCTTTTAGCTTGAGTAACCTCTGATTCTCTAAAGTACTGATCTTTTCCTCTGAAGATGGCTGCCAGAGATGAAATAGGCCATCAATTCATTGGCCAACTAATAGATGTGCGCTTACACTAGTTCATATACAGGGATGTTAGGACCAGCTACCTAAAAGAGTTTTTTTTTTTTTTTTTCCCATTTCTCCCTTCCACTTTCATTTATCACAGCAAAATATTTTCATGGGTGAAGATCAATTCAATTCACCCAAGAAGGCTGAGGTCGTAACTTTCAACACCACCTTTGGGAAGTTCGGAATTTTCACGTGCTTTGATATACTCTTCCATGATCCTGCTGTGATCCTGGTGAAGGATTTCCATGTAGACACCATCCTCTTCCCGACAGCTTGGATGAATGTTTTGCCACATTTATCAGCTGTTGAATTCCACTCAGCTTGGGCTATGGGCATGGGTGTCAATTTCCTTGCAGCTAATATACATCATCCCCTGAGGAAAATGACAGGTAATGTGTGAGCTCTAAGATTTACGTTGTTGTTGTTGTTACGTGCAGTCAAATCCATTCCGACTCATAGCAACCTTATGTGGAACAAAACGAAACACCGCCCAGTACTGTGCCATCCTCACAATTGTTGCTATGTCCGAGTTCATTGTTGCACCACTGTGTCAACCTATCTTGTTGAGGGTCTTCCTCTTTTTCACTGACCCTCTACTTTAAGGTTTATAGGTTTGGCGTAATGAAGCAAGAAAGAAACAAGAAACAAGAAGAAAAAATGCCCCTAGTTAACATGTATTCCTTAATACATGTTTTCGAAATCTTAAATTCTTAAAAATATCTATCTGGTGGCATATTATGGAATGGGACTAAATTTTTTGTAGATTTATGTATTTATTTATTTTTTAATTCAAGTTGAATGTATGTTGTTTTTCTTCTTTTTCCAAATTTGACCACTTACTTGAAACTTCCTCTTCTTTGGCTACTACACGCCTCACTCTACAGGTTTTCCTCTCACCTGTCTGTTCTTATAAGCATATTTTACTGGAATATATATCATGTTGTTGATAGGCTCAGTGGAGTCATTTTTGATTCATAGCAACCCGGTGTTAGAGGCAGTAAAATGTTAATGTGAGTTTAAATAATAGTAATAACTATGAAGACACTTTTCACTTCCTGTTTCAAGAAAACTTTTCCAACTTATCAATTTCAGGAAGTGGCATCTATGCACCAGATTCTCCAAGAGCCTTTCATTATGATATGAAGACAGAGGAGGGAAAACTCCTCCTCTCCGAACTGGATTCCCATCTATACCGCTCTGTGGTGAATTGGTCTTCTTATGCCAACAGTATAGAAGCACTCTCAACGGGAAACCAGGAGTTTAAGGGCACTGTCTTTTTTGATAATTTCACCTTCATGGAGCTCAAAGGAGTCACAGGAAATTACACAGTTTGTCACAGAGACCTCTGTTGTCATCTAAGCTACAAGATGTCTGAGAAGAGATCAGATGAAGTTTATGCCCTTGGGGCATTTGATGGACTACACACGGTTGAAGGAACCTATTATCTACAAGTAATGCATGTTTTGGTGGCAAGAGAGTTGCCAGAATAAAAAGAAGATACCTAATTAAATTTGAATTTCAGATAAATGACTTTTTTTTAGTGTATATATGTCCCCCAGGTTGGGACCTATTTATACTGAAAATTTTTTATTTATGTAAAATTCAAATTTAACCAGATATACTTATTTTTATTTGCTAAATATGATAACCCTAGATGTTAGTCTAATTTGAAACTGGTTGGAAAAAAGCAGAACTTTTGTTTGGGATTACAATTTTTAAAATCATACCACTATCAAATTACAGATAATTTTAATAGATAATTGACCTATGAAATCTCCTGCCTGAACAAATTTAGCTATTTTCCTGTATGTTTACTGACATCCACCCTGCTTTATAAAGAGCTTGACACTAAGTATGCTCCTCGAGACAGATAAAGGTGACTTCTGAAGTTGTACAGTAAAAATGTTTCCCATTGCCGTCAAGTCAGTTCTGATTCATAGTGACCCCACAGGGTTTCCTAGGAGCTGCTGGTGGTTTCAAACTGCTGACCATTTGGTTAACAGCCGAGCTCTTAACCACTGTGCCACAGGGCTCCATAAAGATTACCACCATGGAAAGCCTACAGGGCAGTTCTACTCCGTCCTAAAGAGTCACTATGAGTTGAAATTGACTTGATAGCAACGGGTTTTGTTTTGGTTTATAGGGTTTTGAGAAAATTTGATTTAATCAATAAATGTAAAGTGCTTAACATTTTGTCTGGCACATAGAAAATACTCAATAAATGTTAAGCTTTATTACTATTATTGTTAATAAACATAACTTTTTCGGTTAATCATCAGATCTGCACTGCCAGGTTTCACTAGCATAAACACTGTCTGTGTTACTTAAGCCTGCAATCTGAATCCAGTTGCAAATATCACCTGATTCAATCCATTTATTCATTTAAGAGTCCATTGTTGTCCAGTAGATTTCGACTCATAGCGATGCTATAGGACAGGGTAGAACTACCCCATTAGTCCTTCTTATATGCCAGATGTCCTATCCCTTATCACCTGGATTGATTCTCTCTCTCCCCTTTTCGTTAATCAAAGTAATTGTCTTAGTCATCTAGTGCTGCTATAACAGAAATATCACAAGTGGATGGCTTTAGCAAAGAGAAGTTTATTCTCTCACAGTCCAGTAGGCAAATTCAGGGCGTCAGCTACAGAGGAATGCTTTCTCCATCAGCTCTGGAGGAAGGTCTGTGTCATCAATCTTCCTTTGGTCTGGGAGCTTCTCTGCGCAGGAATGTCAGGTCCAAAGGACACACTCTGTTCCCAGCACTGCTTTCTTGGTGGTATGAGGTTCCCATGTGTCTCTGCTCGCTTCTTTCTTTTATATCTCAAAAGAGATTGGCTTAAGACACTATCCAATCTTGTAGATGTTATCAGTATAACCTCATCATAGTGACAGAGTTTACAACACATAAGGAGATCAGCTCATCATAATGATAGAGTTTACAACACGTGAGGAAATCACATCAGATTACACAATCATACAATATTGGGAGTCATGACCTAGCCAAGTTGACAGATATTTTTGGGGACACAGTTCAATCCATGACAGTAGTGCTTGCACATAATTAAGAAGACAAATAGCACTAAAGGCTTATATAACAGTGGTTCCCTCCCCGGTACACCCAATCACTCTTTCTGGAGGCAAATACTTCTGTATCTCTTAGCCTTTTCTTCTGAAATTTACATTATTTCTGAATAACAATGCTATGTTTTATTCATCAATTTTCGTCCTGATTCACTCCTTCTATCCTTTCATTTATTCGCATATGTAAGACTTTATAAAATAGTGGTTCCCTCTCTATTCTACTCTTTCCTCATCCGAGGGGCACTTTGACTCTTCTCTATTTCTTCTGGAATTTACACTTCTCCATGTTCCTAAATAACACTGCTTTAAAAAAAAATAGTCAGTTTTAGTCATTATCTTCTTAGTTTCTAGTCAGGTAGATGAACTTTTAGTTTTGCTATATCATTCTGCTTTGTCCCTTCTACCATCTTATTAATATATTTCATCTGTGTCAATATGTAGTGTTTATATTTTCACGACTATGCAAACATCATTTAGAGAAGAGTGTAGATTGCATTTTCTTTTTCTCTTTGTTTTTCCTGAACTTATTAATTGTCTTCTTTTTTATTTGCTTAATTTTTCCTTGACACGTTTGTTAAAATTTTCAGCCTTTCAATAGTATCTCAAACCATTTTCCCACAAGGTCATTTGCATCAAGTTAAAAAAGTTTTAAAAAAATCTGCCTTTCTCTGGGCTGTATTTTTATCATCTTGGAATTTCCCTTTGATGTCATCCTAGGAATTCTCTTGATTTGGATTCCCTGATTTTGTCCTTGTTTCTTTATTTACTTCTTTGTGTTGTTGGAGCACACTCTCCGACATGACTGTCTCTTGAGTCATATTGCTTTAATCTGATCTGGCCGCCTTCAGTGTCTGGTACACCATAGGTCTCATCCTGGGATCTCCCTTCATCACAATAGGAAGATTTTCTTTACCCACCTCCTCTGTGGATTTTCTGTTTTCTATTCCATGTCTTTCTTGTTTTATGACCATTTTCCTGTTGCTGTCAGCCGTTTCCTGAAAAAGAGTGAATGAGAGGTAAACATTTTTGAGATTTTACATATCTGAAATGTGTTTACTCTCAAATTATTTCCACAGATATTGAATTCGAGGGTGGAAATAATTTTCCTTTAGAATTTTAAAGATATTATTTCCTCCTTTCTTATAGTCTCCTGAGAATATTGAAATTTTTCTAATTTCTGATTCTTTATATGTGACATTCCTCCCTCATTCATCTCTCCCCCAAAGCTTGCAGAATTTTTTTCCCTTCATTTTATTTTTTCTCTCCTTCTAGGACTTCTATTTGGATCTTGTCCCTCTTGAATCGGTTCTCTCATTTTCTGATCTTTTCTTGGTTATTTTTCATCTCTTTATTTCCTCTACTTTCTGAGATTTCCTCTTTCTGATCTTTCAAATCTTCCACTAAATTTAACATTTTTGCTATCATGATTCCAATTTATAAGAGCTTATTTTGCTTTTTGAGTCTTCCTCCCATATTTGTCATCACACACACACATATATATACGCCCACACAAGCATATATATATATATTTGTGTGTGTGTGTGTGTGTGTGTGTGGAAGCAGTATTTTATCTCTTTGAAGCTATTAAAGAAATTTTTTCTCTTGAAGTTTTGTTGCCCTGTGTAGTCTCTGTTTACTGCAAGTTACACTTATCTGCTTGTTTTGCTGTCTATTTCATATTAAAAGCTTTTCTCAGTTATCTGTAACCCTGCTTCCCCTTTTTAGGAAATAAATTCTGTCTTTTACTGAACTAGGGGAAGGGCAGTTCTCCATCCATGAGGGTAACTCTGTATCTAAGAAATTCTTAATAACTTTTCATCAATCTTCTTTACATCTGTCCCAACTTCATCCCCTGTTCCTGGTGCTTCCAGAAATAGAGTCTTTCGTGTATTCTGCAGTGCAGATGGGGTTAATTCTTGGCTTTCCCCATTGCCAGTTTAGGTCTTGGCTTTCTTAGGTCTGCTAAATCACTTACCAGTTTTCCATCAATACTCCAGCTTCTAAAATTGTTGCTGTATTCTATTCTCGTTTCCCTTGTCCTTGTGGGTTTGTATCTGTTGAAAAATTACTGTATTTTTGGTAGGTTTCAGTGGACCAAAATAGAGGCATGTGTTCATTGTACAACTTTTACTTGAAAGTTCTTTCTCCTCTTAACATACTTGCCCTGAAGGGCTTGCCTTCCACCTACAAAAGTAGAAGCAGGGAGATCACTTACAGGCTATTGCTGTAACTAGGTAAGAGATGAAGGTGGCTTGGAATAATAGGCTTGAAATGGGAGATGCTGTACAGATGGAGTTATTGGATATGGATAGTCCTTTGTAGGTCTTTGCATTTACATGGTGAGATTACTCATGTATTTAGATTTTACTTTCAAATAGCTATGTAGTATAGTGGAAGAACTCAATTGGGAACTGTTTCAATCCTTGCTCAGATACAAAGTATGTGACTTTTCTGGATCACAGGGGACATTCTAGATCGTCTCTAGGGTCCCTTACAAATCGAAAATTCCCTCATTTTACGCCATAGGCAATAGGATAAAGATTGAACTAGTATCTAAGTTAAAAAGCTTTTCAACAAATTGAATGTTCTAACAAGTAAAATCATTGATAACTTGAGAACAATGAGGGTATAGTTGTCCATGGAGATAGACCAAAGATTTGATTGGTTCTTTATGTGGTTAATTTGTTTGCCAGTGAATCTCAGGAAGTACTAGGGTTTAAAGTCCTTTATTTTTATTACAATTTGCATTAGCTGTTGGCCAATGAATTGAATTAATCTAATTAGGAAGTAACATTATTTTGCTAAATAAAGGGCATAGGCATTTCTCTAGGTCATGAGAGTGTGCCAGTTGGCTTTGCTGTGACTTATTGTTTTGCATTTACTTCCTGTAGATTTGTACCATGTTGAAGTGTGGAACAACTGACTTAAAAACCTGTGGTGAGTCAGTTGAAGCAGCTTCCACCAGGTTTGAAATGTTCTCTCTCAGTGGCACTTTTGGAACCCAGTATGTCTTCCCTGAAGTATTGCTGAGTGAAGTTCAGCTTGCACCTGGAGAATTTCAGGTAAGAACTTGTGCTTGATGTTGGCAATTAAATTCACCCAAGAGAAAGCACATTTTAAGACCAAAACCTGTCCAAGAACTTAAAAATATCATAAAAATTCCCATTTGAGAAGGATAAAATTGACCTTGGGGATCACCAAGGACACGGAGCAGGTTGAATTTCCTGCCTGGAAATTCTTAAGATAGTAATTAATGTGTCCTTGAGAATAAAGAGAAATATATTTATTTTGGTGAATATGGGAGGAGGCTGGGCTGTTGAAGTTCTATCAAGTAGGAAGGAGACTGAAGAAGAGTAGTTTTAGGGGCAGGCCCATTAGAGGAAGGCACTTGGATTACTGGAAAGGAAATGGCCTAGGAAGGGAAAGGAATTCCTCTCATTGTGTGGGTCAAGGCTGGGTGCAACCATGGCCAAAGGAGAAGAGGAGAGAAGGAAAAGCTGAGGGGAGGAGAATCTGACAGCAGCTGGTGTTTACAAGGGAGCAAAAGCTATTTATTTTATTAGAGTCCAGAAATAATTCCTTGCTGCACATGCACTCTGCCCAGCCATTCTCTTCCACCAACTTTTCCTGCAGGTTTTGCTTTTACTCTGCCTTTCTGGTAGAAACAAAGGCAGGGAGGTGGGGGTGGTTAGGAGTGAGTGGGAAAATCAGAACAGAGTGATGAGTGGGTGGAAAGGACCATGGGGGCTCAGTTCAAACTCCCCTTCTGACTTTTTGTTGGGGGAGGTTGTATTTTTGTCTGATAGGACTAGCTTTCTCTCTTATATACTCCCAAATCCCTTGCTTTGTTTACTAACTCATGAAAAACTTCCTAGATAAGTAAATTATGAGATAGTGGTTGCAAACATTTCATTAATAAATGAGTCAGTGCCAATTCTATGGCTCTATTTTTTCCTGTACACTGTAACATTTCAAATATTTTTGATAGAACAGCATTTGATCCATGCTGTTTCTTTAAACTGTTTTAAACTGTTTCTTCAAACTGTTTAAACAGTTTCTTCATCCAGGTATGCTGCATTTTAGAAGTATACTATGGAATTGTGTAACTTAAAGGTAGATCCTGTCTTCTTTGTGTTAATTAGGTGTCAAGTGATGGACGCTTGTTTAGCCTGAAGCCGACATCTGGACCTGTCTTAACAGTGACTTTGTTTGGGAGGTGGTATGAGAAGGACTGGACATCAAATGCTTCATCAGAACTCAGGGCTCAAGCACTAGGATTGATGATAGTAAGTATAACAACTATTGCGTACTTATTAAGTTGGTAAAATATAGACATTCTCTAACTCTCACTGTTTTCTTCTTCTTTTTTTTTTTTTTGAATAATCTTTTAGAGATGGATGCTAGAGAAAATAAGAATGGGTCTGGACTTTTTGCTGATCCTGATCTCTGGTATAAGTGAATTACCTGTCACACACACACACCTTTCTGACAATTCAAACTAGAGAAATAGTAGCACTATTTTGAAAGGTAAAAATGTGTAAAATTATAATAACAATTGTACTCACTTCTTAATTTTTTTTCATGATAATTCAGTAAGTTAATATATTTAAAGTGGTTAGACAAGTTCCTGGCTCATGGAAAGCATTTTGTGTACGTTAGCTATTACAATCAAACCTGACTATAACAAGAAAACCAATTGTGATGTATTTATTTCTAAAATTATATCACCTCTGATGGTTAATGTGGGTCAGCCACCTAACATATTTAAATTAGAAAATCAATAAACTCAGCATCCCTGGACTGGCTTTCGCTGGAAATCTAGCACTGACGTATTCCAGAAGACAGTTAGCTTATATCTAGGAGCCTGTGGGAGGTCCTTCATGTTTTTCTGTGTCTTCTTCAGCAGTGATTAGCGCCTGCTTAGTGCCTTGCCTGTCTTGTCAGCCTGTCAGCATACTAATAGGGGTGGCTCCAAAGCAGAGGTCAGACAAAGCCAACCTGTTGCCTATTTTTGTATGACCTGTGAACTAAGAATGGTTTTTACATATTTAAATCACTAAAAAATCAAAAGAAGAATAATATTTTCCAGTATGTGAAATTGAAAGTTCAGTGTGCATATGTAAAGTTTTATTGTAATTTAAACCAGTTGCGATGAGTTGATTCTGACTCATGGTAACCCCGTACTTGTCAGAGTACAACTGTGATCCATAGGGTTTTCAGTGGCTGATTTTCTGGAAGTTGATTGTGATTCTTTCTTCCAAGGTTATCTAGGTGGATTCGCACTGCCAACCTTTTGGTTAGCAGCCAAGTATGTTAACCTTCTGTACCACACAGCAATGCTTATTTTCTAGGTATCATCTGTGGTTGCTTTTGCGCTGCAGCAGTGGAACTGAGCAGTTGTGACAGAGACTGTGTAGCCTGAAAAGCTGAAAATATTTACTACCTGACCCTTTCCAGGAATAGTTCGCTGATTCCTGCTCTAATGTATTAAATAACAAAGGAATATAGTAATGAAAGTCTTTACTACAAATCAGGGGATATATTGTCTAGAGTGTCTTTTCTGTAGTTCTCTCACCCAAGAAGAAATAAAATATTTGTATTAGCTTTGTATTATATTACTATCAGAAAATAGTTGCCTTGATTAACTTGCGACCAAATAATGCTAAATAGTCTGATACCCAAAACAAGTGAATATAATTTTTTTTGTGTGTGTTGTGGTTTATTTCATTGTTATTCATGTAATGTTATTACTATATTAATAATCAAAGTGTCTAACATTTATTGAGCCCTTTAACCAGGGACTGTGCTATGCATATTACATGCAGCATCTCACTTAATCCCTGTAATCGCTCTCCAAGTCTTTTAATTATTTCCATTTTCCTGGTGGTCTGTGACCTAGGAAGGTTAATGAGAGATTCTTGAAACAGAAGTAACCCAAACTATATCTCTAAACACTAAAGAGGAAAATAATGGTCTTTTTTTTTTTTTATTGTATTTTAGGTGAAGTTTTACAGAAGAAATAGTTTCTTATTAAACAGTCAGTACACGTATTGTTTTATGACATTGGTTAACAACCCCACGACATGTCAACCCTTTCCCTTCTGGACCTTTTTTTTTTTTGGTGAAAATATACATAGCCAAAGATACACCATTTCAAAAATTTCTACATGCACAATTCAGTGACATCGATTACGTTCTTCCAATTGTGCTGCTATTCTCACTTTGGATGAAGGTTTACAGACCAAAATAATTTCTCATTAAACAGTACACATGTTGCCCTATGACAATGGTTAACAATCCCACTGTTGAGAATTTTTGCATCCATATTCATGAGAGATATTGGTCTGTAATTTTCTTTTTTTGTGGCATCTTTGCCTGGTTTTGGTATGAGTTATGCTGGCTTCATAGAATGAATTCAAAAGTGTCGCTTCCTTTTCTATGTTCTGAAATAGTTTGATTACTGCTGGTACAAGCTCTTCTCTGAATGTTTGGTAGAATTTTCCAGTGAAGCCATCTGGGCCAGGGCTTTTTGTTGTTGGGAGTTTTTTTTATTACTTTGTCAATCTCTTCTTTTGTTATGGGTCTGTTCAGATTTTCAACATCACTTTGTGATAGTTTGGGTAGGTAGTGTGTTTCTAGAAATTTATCCATTTCCTTTAGGTTTTCAAATTTGTTGGAGTATAGTTTTTCATAATACTCTGTCATGTTCCTTTTTATTTCAGTTGGGTCTGTTGTAATGTCCCCCATTTCATTTTTTATTCGGGTTATTTGCATCCTCTCCTGTTTTTTTTTTTTTCTTGTCAGTCTGGCCAGTGGTTTGTCGATTTTGTTGATTCTTTCAAAGAAGCAACTTTTGGTTTTGTTGATTCTTTCTATTATTTTTCTATTCTGTATTTCATGTATTTCTGCTCTGATCTTTATTATTTCCTTTCTTCTGGTGGCTGTGAGGTTTTTTTGCTGTTCTCTTTCTATTTGTTTGAGTTGTGTAGTTAATGTTTGGATTTTGTTCCTTTGTGCATCCATTGCTATAAATTGTCCTCTGAGGACTGCTTTTGCTATGTCCCAAAGATTTTGGTATGATGTGTTTTCATTCTCATTTGATTTTAGGAATTTTTTGATTCCATCTCTGATATCTTCTATTACCCAGTGGTTTGTAAGCATAGTGTTATTCAGTTTCCATGTAATTGATTTTTTTTCCTTGTTCTTTCTGTTGTTAATTTCTACCTTAATGGCATTGTGGTCAGAGAAGATACTTTGTATTATCTCAACATTTTGGATCTTGCTGAGGATTGCTCTGTGGCCTAAAATGTGGTTTATTCTGGAGAACGTTCCATGTGCATTGGAAAAGAATGTGTACTTTGCAGCTGTAGGGTGGAGTGTTGTATATATGTCTATGAGGTCAAGTTGGCTGATTGTGCCCTTTAGGTCTTTTGTATCTTTGTTGGGTTTCTGTTTAGATGTTCTGTCCTTTACCGAGAGTGGGAGTTGAAATCTCCTACTATTATTGTAAAACTGTCAATTTCTCTTTTCAGTGCTGTTAGAATTTGTTTTATGTATTTTGGAGCCCTGTCATTGGGTGTGTAAATGTTTATTATGGTTATGTCTTCACGATGGATCATCCTCTTAATCATTATATAGTGTCCTTCTTTGTCTTTTATGGTGGATTTTGTTTTACTATTTTATCTGAGATTAGTATTGCTACTCCTGCTCTTTTTTGGTAGTTGTTTGCTTGATATATTTTTTCCCAACCTTTGGTTTTTAATAAATTTACATCTTTGTTTCTAAGGTGTGTCTCTTGTAGACAGCATATTGATGGATCCTGTTTTTTTTAATCCATTCTGTCACTCTCCATCTCTTTATGGGTGCATTTAG